TGATACACTGCAATACTTATTTCAAACACCAGAGGGCACAATAGTACACTTTCTTCAGTATCTGCTTTGTATGGACAAGAAACTTGATTTAATGGGTAAAGAAACATGAATCAGATGTTTTATACAAGAGATCACAGAATGGTGTATTTGTAGAAAATATGGGAATTACATGTTAAGGTTATTGTTGGTCATCAAAACTCAATTTATTTAAAGTTGAGGTGACGTGTTGAGGCTTGTGTGCTATCCAACAAAAAACACCAAATGAGTGAAAATCTTCTGAAAAACTGTTCGTGCCCTTGAGTTCTCAATCTGTACTGCAGGCTTTTGGTTACTAGACACCTCACTAAGACAAATGATGGTCTTAAATGGTCAGGAATTAACACAAAACTGATTTTGTACGAATTGGGCTTTTAAATGAGACAGCAACATTACATCTCATTTCATTTAGCTGACACTTTTATCCAAAGCGACTTACAATTACCGAGACATTCTCCCTGGAGAAATTAAGGGCTAAGTGCCTTACTCAAGGGCACACGAGTGGTGGTGTTCCAGGCGGGATTTGAATTCACAACCTTCCGATCTTCAGCCCACCTCACTATCCATTAGACTACCACTACCCCTATAATGAGTCATATATACAGAAATTATACATGTATATTTCTTAATAGGCTATACGTTTTTACACAAGCATTAAAAGACTAAATAAACCCAAAAGGCCTGGGCATACAGCTTCTCAGGGTTGCTATGGTGTCCAGTTATATTGTCTCTTAAAGGTGGGGTAGGTAATTTTGGAGAAACCAGCTCGAGTGGGCTAGAATTTGAAAATACACAACAGGGAAAAATCTGCCACTTCCTTACAGAGCCCCTCCTCCAACACACACAAACACGCACATGACCAATGAGGGCACGAGATAAGTTTGTGCACAGATGGAAGGCTGACAGGCAGGTAGGCCATCCAGTTATTTTAGCCTGGCCGGCTAAAATGATTGGTTGTGCTTTTTACAGCGCCACGACTTCCACAGATGAAATGTTTTTATGTATTTATTGTCAAAGCATTTAATATATTCATTGCTATCGGGATGTTAAGAGCATTCCATGGAATATAACAAAAAGTGTTTCTGAAATAAATTACATACCCCACCTTTAAGTGTCAGCATTTTTGCACTGTGTTGACACTTCTCCACATTTGTATGTACATTCTTGTTTCAAAGTTTAAGTTTTTCAGCACACCAGCTACAGCTCAGTCACAGCAGCTGCATCGCAACAGGTGAACACAAATTTTAGATACCCATAAAGTTAAAAGAGGTTTGATCAAACAACTTGTAGTTCACTGTAATAAAGCAGCTGCACGGCTTTTCATTACATCTTGTTAAGAATACATGTAGAACTCTATAGAAGGTGTACATCAACGTTTCACCTTCTTCTTATAATCACACAGCTTGACTCCAAAGAAACCTCTTGAATGTGCATAGAAAGATAATCACATAGGAAACATAAAATAATACTCTCTTTACATCCTTTTGTACATGTTCTATATTAAAAATCACTATTATAGGATTATGAAGAGCACTATTGAGGAATGAACCTTTAAAACTGAGTTAGCTGTTGCCTGTTGTTTGTTAGCAACCACTGATGTGTTATCCAAACACAATTCATTAATCGCCATCACCAAAGCGTTGTGTTGATTCTGGCTAAACAAACTGCAGTGTAATGCTGTTGATGTTAGGTTGATGTGCTTGATCTGATTTTAGTGCATGCTGCTGCCTTTAAGGTTGTTACTTGTGTCTTCAAGTTGATTAATATGTTGAGATAAGTAGAAGAGGATTTTGTCGGATAAACAAAATTCGATAAGCAAGACTCAAAATATTTGTAAAGCATGTGGTGAGCCAAAAGTAAAAAGTCCACAAAATCACCATATATGATGATCCCTTTGGGTGTTTATGTCTACACGTGTGAGTCACACACAGACTGCTTTTGTTTATGCATTAAATTAAACACAGTAATTATCCATCATGATGAAAATATGTTTTTCCTGAAAGGAGATATACGAGTTTTTTCTGTGTCTATTTCTGAAGCCTTAAATCCTGCACAGCTTGTCCCAGCAAGGTCTGTTTGAGTGAATAACCCGGCTCGTGTCACCTTTATGTCATTCTTTATTTGTGTTTCATTTGAGTTGGCTGTGACCTCATTTACAACATCAAACTCTATAATAGAAACGCAATACTGCTGTGAAAACCCCCCAAAAACTAAAATAGAAATAATGGATTATCCTCGTTTATTTTTGAAATCCCTGTGACCACACTGCTGCCTGCTGTATGCTCACGTTTACCTCACTGGACTGAAGTATATACATTATATATATAGTAGTTAGTTCAACCAAAGTCAATACATGGTCAAAGTTGAAAAGACAAAACGACTTACACTGAACAATAATAACTCCATCTACAAAACATTTACATTTTCATGTTTAAGATGTTCTTTTTAACTACTTTATTTTCCCAAACAATCATTATACAAAATGGATTGCTCACAACATTTCCACAAATAAACACCACAACTCAGACTTAAGTTTTAGAAACAGTGCATATATATTTAAAGCCCTACTGCAATTAACACAATTATACCAGCAATTATACCAGCCCTTATTTTCAGAGTCAAATACATATCTGTGCACGCACCAGGAAAGGCATCATGGCATTATTTCTGCAAAGAGAGTGTAACTTCCTCCCCACAGCCACTAACCATCAAAACCAATCCTCTCTCAGTGTCTCTTGGGTCCTGTCTGTGTTTCCCATGGAGTGGCCCTGCAGCTCAGAGCATCTTCCTCCTGAGACCGGAGCGCTGTGGTCACCACACATTCATCTATTTACATACTCCTCTGCCTCCCACAGTGTTCTCACCAGGAGGACACACACAGACAGATCTGGTGTGCAAAGAGGAAGTCCTGAAGGCAGGCCCGACCAAATGACACAGTGGCTGGGCCGCGGTGGAGGAGCAAGGCCCCGTGTGAGCGAAGAGACAAACTGTAGGGTACGAAGTCTCAGGCTGTGAAGAATGTCAGGAGGGCAGCGTGAAGAGCTGCACTCAACAAACTCCCACTGCAGCATCCCACAGAGGAAATTAGAGCTGGTGTTAACAGGCTGGGGAGAGGAGTTGCTGTTTAAGGGTTTTGTATATGGTCTTGTATAAAAAATAACAGAAACAGCATGCAGTGAGAACGCAGTAAACCAATGTGGTAAAACTCATAATGATGGACTTGCTCAGTCACACACACAGTACAAATATGGTTTGGCAAACCTATAACAAACTTCAAGATGCATGTCAAACACATGAAGTAATCACAATTAGAACCTCATCAATGTGACACTTTGTGGGGTCTTTGCTTATAACATCATTATTTATAGTCTCAACAAAAAATGTACAGCTTGATCTTCACCAAATTGTGAATTACTGCAGGGATATTGGACTATACTATGAAATATAACATAACAAGCTAACTGAACTGATATTGTAGTGGTAACAAAGAATAAAAACGACATTGATGACCGTGCGAAAATATGTGTCTGGCACAAGCTGTATTATTTAGTCATAGTATACCGTGTGTTAGATTAAAGTTCAATTAAAAACTGCAAGACCCCAAAAAGACAAGAACGGAGAATCTCTACACCAGATTACTACGTTATATTTGTAAATCAGAACAAAAGTCACTAAATAGAGCAGGTAAAAAGATATTCAGTCTTCTCGGGTCTAACTTTAAGGGTGTATTTGATATGAAGGTAAGACTAATTACAGGACATTTCATTCGAATGGGTAGCTTACAGAGCTTGCCAGAAGGCTTAAATAACAATAAATAAGAAACACCAGCATGGGTAATTTAGGGCATTAATGATTTTTTTTAAAGGCTAAAAAAGGTTCAAGAGGAAGAGAAACAAATAGAGGAGCGAGAAGGATAAAGGAGTACGTTTTTAAGATTTCATTTTTAGTAGAAGAGTTTACCAGTTTATTCAGATTTAAAGTAAGTCCTCTTCAGCTGCAGTATTTGAATTACATTTTGTGATTTTGCTGCTTCATGTTTTTAGTTTGGACTCTTGGATCTGTAAGCCGACTGCTTTATGATTTAAACCAGACTTATAGACAAGGAGGAATATTTTAAACATTATTCCAAAACACACCAGAGGCCAATGCAGAGAGCTGAAAAGACTATTGTTTCCATTCTGCACAAAATAAAAGCATGAATATGTTTAACAAACCTGTCTGTAAGGATATTCTGATATTCCAAGTGACTCTAAACAGATTCTATATGGACTTCCTCCAGAAATGTATCACTGTCAACATTTGACCATTGCTTACAAGCCACACACATCCTTCAAAACATGCAGTTAGGGCCCAGTGACATTCACTGTGTGGTTAATGTCTGTAGCTCAAGAAGAAATAACACAGTTTATTTTCTACAGGAGACACAGTTTAGGATTTTAAAATGTTTCTGGAGCCTCACTTGAAGAAAAATAATGAAGTGTGTTCTCTTGTTACTTAGTGCTGCCTAATGAAGCTAAACAAAGCTACAGTGGAGACACTACTGTTTTAGATCCAAAGCCATCAAAACACATGGACATGAAAAATAATAATAATTAAATACAAATTCAAGAACCTATACCTGGCATTGTTTAAAGAGTTAATCAGGTCAAATCATTCATATTTAAAGGATGTTGCTTTGAAGTTTTTCAGAATCTTACTTTTGCCTTTGACCTGTGAGAAAATGCATTGTCAGCTTACTTATAAGTAGGCAACACTGGAAAAAAAGGAGAACTTGAAACTGAGAAAAAGCTGAAAAAAAAGCGTGACTAAATTAGCCTGGATAAGTTTCATGGAGTTTTTGGGAAGTCGCGTTTCAGGAAGTCGTCATCATCTTTGACATCATCTTCGCAACTTGTATTCTTCTTTCTCTCTGACAAACGGAGTGGGGGAAGGGAGAAGTGCGAGGGAGGAGAGAAGGGGAGAAAGGGCGACGTCAGACGGTGGTGGGATGGCTCTATGTGAGGGGAGAAGGAAAGAGAAAACGTCCTGAAGAAAGGAGCCTGGAGTGAGTGAGCGCTGGGCTGCACCGGGAACACAGCAGCGGTTCAAAACAGAGGACGGCTCCTTCACGTCGGCTGCAACATCACACCACGTCGGCTCTGTGAGTAGAAGACAATGCGATGAGCAAACACAATGTAGCTCTTTTACGTTAAGATTTCACACATCTCCTTTTTGGCTGGTAGATTCAACTCGTGTTTCTGAAAGTGTCATTTACGAAATGGTATTTTTTCTGATTGGCATACTCAATGCAAGAAGTCTAGCTGACGTTCAAGTTATTCTAACTGTCAGAGCACCTACTTTAAACTTTTTTCTCAGTCAAGCTCCTCTTTGCATATCTATGTATTCCCAACTGTTATGGAGAAAGTGTGCATGCTTCATTGATTCAGATGCTGAAGCAGCCACCTACATACAATTTGAATGGAGGTAGTTGATGAATGTGGATTTGGAGAAAGTGACATTTCTACAACTTGGTGTTCAGGGACACCATCTTGCAGCATTTGACACCACAGCACAGTAGCAATTAGAGAAATCTCCTCCACTAGAACCTTAACTATAGCATTTTTTTGTTATTATTACTTAATCCACCTTTCACATGTCCATGCAACAGCCTTTTTGCTCTAAGTTGCTCTTTCCACCACACAAGGCCATGTCCTTGAGGTGCAGGGAGGAGGTCAATCTGTGTGAGAGCCACCATGGAGCTCTCTGCCTGACACACACTGCACTGAGAGGGGAAGTGGTGCAACATCATAAACCAAACAAAACCAGGAAAAGGTTCAGTGTTTATACTAGCTGAGTTCAAGGACAAACTAAAGTGACACGATGAGAGGAGGGAATTATCACCACCCATTCAGTGCTATTACACTTCTATACTGTTACAAATCAGAGTTTTTGTATTAAATATAATACATTCCAGGACTGATTTTATGATGAAATTGTGCTGTATATTATCTAAGTGGGATTGCTCTCACCTGCCTCCTTTTCCTAGAATTAGTTTTGACAAGCGCAAACTTGTCAATGCTAAATGGATGGAGGGAGGTTTTATTCAAAAGTGAAAAGAAAAATGTTGATGCTTTAAAAACTGTCTTGTGGCTATATGTCAAATGGATTTATAGAGATTTTTACCAGATATAGAAAACATTGATTACTATGCCTCTTCTGTGATTTATTTCGTCCCCTGTATTTGGAACATCAGCAGAAAGTTAATGAAGAAGAATCCATGAAGAACTTGACCGTGATTTATGATTAGAACTACCAGAGAATTAAAGACTCCTTGTATGTTATAATATGTATTACTCATTGGCAGTTCTTCACATTGTTGCTTAGTTTCTTACTAGTTATTTGAAGTTTTAGGTTACTTGATGAATTTCCTATCTTCTAGGACACTACTGTCCCTCTCCATCTTGCAATTTTGAAATGATCTGTCATGGATCCTGAAGTTCAGTTTTTTCAGACTAAGAAGTACTTTTCATTAGAGGTACACTGATCTTCTGCACGTTTTTATATTGTATGGAAACCAGCAGCTACCAGTATAAGCAACTTTAAGTTAGTAATTATTCAACATTAACCAAAACACCTGTGAGGTCCTTCAAACATCACTAAGGAACAGTATAGAGTTCTTAAGAAAAATAAGAAGTGAAAAGTTGGCATCCATCATCTTAAAAACAAGTAAGAAAAGACGATGGGCTATAGCAAGGCCATGTAATTCCTGTTTTTGTGTCAGTGAAATGCGAGGGTCACTCAGGGGCTTTGCTGCAGAGTCAGTGCGGGGAGTGAGGGGCCGGGGTGTTGCGCAGATTGAATAGGTTAGGGGCCACAGCGACCTGCCTTTGAGAATGAGGGAGTGCATTCGGGGCCAACGGTGGCATGTCTTTGAGAGCTGAAGAGTGCGTGAGGGGGCCGGCGTCGGCATGTCTTTGTGCAGCCTTTGTTTAAGTTGAGTGGCACCAGATGAAGTGGGCCGATTTTATTCAGGCTTTTTGGCACAAACACATGCACACAAACAGGCTTGGCTGATACTTTCCTCTAGGGAAGTCGTGCGTTTTGATGCGATTTTAGCTTGGACAAGTGAGCACAGGATGGCAGCTTTCACAGTTTATGGCTGTATATTTATTTATATGTTTGTGCGTCAGTAAAGTGGGTTGTATTGTTTCAGCACACTGGTGGAGGGCTCATCACTTGTTGTGTACATTTCTACAGACCCCTTTTGTCATCGAAAACCTCAAGCCACCTCGTTGTATTTGAAAGCTGAAACTTCTGCCATGTCTTTAATCTCAATACACAGTCAAAGAATAACAACTAATGGCTTTAAGCATCTTGAATTGTTTTATAGTGTTTAATCTGGGTCTGTTAAATACATCCAAACTAACTCCAGAGCAAACAAATATGCTTTTGATGGCTGCAATCACTCACAGAAGTTATGAGACACACAACTTGTGGTAAGTGTTTATCCATGGGAAGCATTTTCCCTCTTGCAACTCTTTTATTCGCCGTTTATGGAGGGCTACCAAAGCAGTGGCTCACATGGTTATGCTTAGCAAGAACGAGCTCTTTAGGATAGCAGCTTGAGTTGTCTCACATTATCTGGGAAAATTGAGAGAGCTAAACGTATCTCTGTCTGTTTGTTGTGTTTTGCAAGACTCTTTTGTCTTCTGTCCTCTGTGTGTAGCACACTGTGAGAGCAGCTGGATGTTTGCCACCTTAAGGCTTCGGTGTGACAATCAAAGGGATGTACAACTCATTAGTTCCTCATGCAAGTTCCATCCTTTTGTTCGAAAGGCTTTGTTCTCTCTACTTCTGATGGTTTGGGTTTCTTAAGTTCACAGATCTACTTTCACACTGCTAAGGGCAACTGAAGCACATTGTTGATCTGTTGTTGTTCAGCAGGTATAAATGAGATTTCATGAGGCATTTCTGCAGGGTATGGGCGTCTCTATTCGGACTGGTGTTATGGCTTGCCTGTTCTTACATCATCCACTCTGCCATGCCAGCACAGATACTTTATAAGGAATGGGAAGCCTTCCCTTTCCAATGACTATGACATTTATTGAGATATTGAGAGTTGAGTGTGTAATGGGTGTGTGGGAGGTTCAGTATTCAAGCTACATTGCTTCATTCTCCCTCACTCCACCTGGAGCTCAACGGCATTCTTTTATGAAAGAGGGATATGTTTGGTCCTGCCCAACTCTGACTGTTTCATATCTCTTAGGTTTTTGGATTCTTGGAGATACTGATGGAAATGAAACCCTCAGTGGCCTGTGATTTCCTCACCATACACATTTTGTTTGTGTAGCTGTGTGTAGCCTGAAGATGGTGAAGCAGCCTCTTATGTGGTTTTGGTTTGAGGGCCTTCCTCCTGGCTGGTCCAGATGCATGACCAGAGCAGACCAGCTTGGGGAACAGATTGCCTTGGTTTGAGGTCTCTGGTACAGGATCTGTGCGTCAAGAGAAAATGAGCTAATCGAGTCCTCCCAGCCCAGATCAACTGGGGGGTCATCGGATCTGGGCGGTGGATCTAACAGCTTGAATACATTTTCCTAAACAGGGACACGCTCTTGCCATTATAGAGAAACAAAAGAATTTCCATCATCTCTCAGAATTGTTTTATTTTTGTAAATCAATGGAGTTGTTTATCTCAAACTCTGTGTCTCACCTCTTTGAAGAACAATCTGGGTCAACTGAGCTTCAGATCTCTGCACCACCCACCTTCAGTCCTCATTCACTTTCACTCTCAAGAGCACGCTACAGTGGCCCCTCATTACCTCAGCACATTGGCATGCTACCAGAGCTTTTGCTGATATCTCAGACCAATTACTCTAGATTTACTACTCAGTGGGCTCCTTTAACCAACGGCCAACCGACTGACCCTTATATGCTTTGAGGCTTTGAAAGGGCTCCACTCAAACTGACGCTTCATTAGTAGACATGTTATTGAGCATATACTGTAGGGCTGCCTGGCCAAAAAGTTTTCACAGCCACACCTGTAGTCCACATGGCTGGCTGCTGGCCCGTGGTTTGTATTTTTTGTGAATTCCAAAAGAGGAAGTTTGTCTCATAGCAGCAAGGACACTGTTCATGTTGGCCGGCTCAATTAAGGTTTGGAGAACTGTGTGTAAGTTGGCTCCAGGCCTTCACTACATGAATATAATCCTGTGTGGCAGCACTTGGGTTTTTGTCAGGACATGAAAACAGTGTGGGAATCTTTATACAGTCTATGGTGGGAATGAGCCGGTCCAGATCAGATGCAGAACCACATTACTCCTTTCATCTTGTATAGTATCTACTGTATCATCAGTTAACTAAGCATCGTGGAGGATTCATGAAAGATACACAAGACCCCATGACCTGTCAGTGTTAGTGATAATGCATATCTATGTCGGTGTCTCCACAGGCACATGGAGAGCTGCAGTAAAAAAGATCTGACAGTTCTTTAAGATACATATCTATCAAAAGCAACTTGGAGGCCGAGACCTCTCACCCACAGCGCCTTGATCGCGGGGTTATGAATAAGTCATAATTGTGATGTGAAGTGTAAAACACTCCTCCCTCAGCGCTCACTTAAACACACAAAAAGACTTGACTTTACCAAGGAAGTGCTGTTCAAGCACTTTCCCAGAAGTCTGTTTAACAACCAGCAAACAAGCGGAAAGTATTCATCACTTTCAGGATGTAGTGACCTTTCTGCTCGCTTAATGACAAAGCAGCATGCACCCTAACACACACATACACACATGCAAGCATGCAAAAACATACACACAAGCAAATCACCAGATTTCTCAAACTCAAATGATTTTAACACCAAAAAGTGCTAAAGATGTATTCATATTTAGATGATCAGCTAATATATAGCATTTAAACACAACTGATCCTTTAAATAGAAAATAAATATGTTAATTGGGTTATGAAGGTGTTAGAATCATAATGTTCATCCTCGAAGACAACATACTTCATCTAAATTCTCTGCTCTTTGCCCCACTAATACAAATAAAAAGTACCTTCCTGTTTCCCCCTTCCTCTGAGTGCAGTCCTCTGTGAGACTACAGAGAGCCGTGATGAGGTATGAGTGAAGATATTTCCTGTAAGTACTGGGGGAGATCACACACTGTGCCTTCTGACTACCTTGACAAGGCATGTTTAGGCTCCATCCCGGTAGTTTAAAGAGGCAGAACTGCTAATTTGAGGGCATTGTAGTCTCAACCGAGAGCACCATGCCCAGCCTGGAGGGGCTATAATCTGCTGTAAACAGAAGACTCAACGTTCACTGAGAATCCAAAACTGTTCACAGTGTGGCTAAAAAACTAAAACCCATTCAAACAAACATAGGCATTTACACACATATGTTTATTCAGGATGCACACACACAACATCAGTAATTGCTGTAATGCTAAGGTTTGCTTTAAATAGTGCTAAAAGACGGCCGGGCAGAGTGAGAGCTGTTGTTGAAACCATTGAAACTTCTGCTGAATGGAAACTTTGATGACAATAAGGACAGCTATGATTTTGAGAGGAGGCCTGGAATGGACTAGAATAGAATAGGGCACACCCCAAACCACCCTCAAACACATAAACACAGTTCAAATATGAACATCTGATTATATTTCTTGTTGCTGTCATTCCTGGAAGTAGAAACACAAACGCAAACATGTTTCTTCAGAACATTTTTTTATAAGTTTGGTGGAAACTTGCTAGAAAATTCAGATTGAAAGACTTTTTAGCAGTTTATCATGAAATACAACAATGCTTCCTGTTTGCTTCCTGCTTGTTACAGCCGTTGCCTTTGTAGGCCGATAATAATGTCGTTGTAGTGTCTTACATGTCTGCTATAACATTCAGCTCAGTTGAAACTGAAATGTACCTCAGTTTATCTTCAAGCTGGGTAATTATATGTAGACAGTGTATTCTGGCTGAGGGTTCTTGAAATCTTGAATTAGGATGCAAAATTGTAGAATGAGAATAAAGCAATGTTAAGCAGAGACGTTCCTGTGATATTCTGCTTGAGCAAAGTAGATGGTAAGATACAAACTTGACGGTGAATGTTAGATGGGCATCAATATCAAATTCAAGACAAAGCAAACTGGGAGCACAACAAACCTGTCACAACTACAGCAGAACTCCTTGAAAACACAACCGTGAAGTGCAGACATGAGTAAATCTCGCTGAACTGAGTTATGCCCGCATCTTAAGTGTTTCACATCTCATACCTTAGCTCTTTAGATGTTGTCATGCCTGTGACTCTGTTTTGCTGGTTTCTACTCGACCCCGGCCTCAGATGAATCAGTCAGACTTTTAGCTGCATGAGATAATGCTCCTAGTTTGAGGCCGGGGAATTGTGACTCAGATCATATCAGACAACATGCAGGATAGTGTTCATTCCCTGCAGATGTAGTGGGATGATTTACCATCCTGACTGGAGGCGTGCACGTTATGGATAACCTAATACCACATTCATTCCCCTCAGGTCACCAGACTGACTTTTAATTAAAGTTTTTGGACAGAAGTTTTCATCACCAACATAATGACACATTCAGTTAGAATGAGAGCATTAACATGATAACAGTCAACTCATCTGTTTAGCTGCCCTTCACTTTTAATGTGAAAGCTTTGAAGAATTTCTTTCATTTTATAGTTAACAGCAATTTCTCTTTCTAGAAAAAATATCCTGTTACAAACCTCACTGTCAGCAGTTGAAAGGGAGCTTTACTTCAGTAGGAAGAGCTGTTTCCCCCCATGGGACAATCGATCGACAAAACAGAGCTTTGTTGGTGGAATTGAGAATATGGACAACATCATCTAATTACAGAGCAGGAAAGATAGCTAAATCCATGCGGAGCAGAATACATCAGTACATCATCACAGATTTTTTACTGCATCCTCTGTTACAAAATAATTATGCTCATGCTGATGGGAACGTCACAAGACAAAGTAATCCTCAACTAATAACAGGAACAATCCTCAAATGAGATTAAACAAATAGACATTTTGCTGTGGTAATCATTGAATTAGATTCTATAGATACTACTAGAGCTATAACAGCAGAGTCAACCTTGCTGTGTTTAAACCCAGATCCCACACACTTTCCTGTGTGTTTGATAATGCTGGATGATGACATCAGAGGGTTTCTTAGAAAGCCTCGGTGCTCCCATGAGACCATAGCTGTGTCGAGGCCAGTTTACTCACGGCAACTGTATCATAACATAGCAACAGTATCACAGTCACTCTGATTGGGACTCATTTACGCTCACTCAAATACACAGACTTCCACCCTGAATCAAATTCAGACACACATGCAGCATTGAGCACTCAAGTCATCTGTTACAAGTTATAGTTTTTTTTGTAATCAAGTATTGATTGCTGTTGAATAAAGAACAAAGACATTTGATTTTGATGCAGACTGTAATTTGAATTGTGAACTCCAGTTGGTGTGACGTGTGTGCTTGCCCCTGCATTTAGGATCTGGCATGTTACCCTGTGTGTTACTGTGAAATGTGACATGCTGTAACAGAGCTCGGCGCTGATCTGTGCTGACAGCTGCTCAGTTGCAAAACACACAAGGCTCCTGTCATTTTACAGATACAATCAATGACTCAAAGGCCAGTAGTCACAAGTAAAATGAAGACAGTATAAACTTGCAGTTTTGTGTATGATTCATCGTCCAACAGACATCTGAAAGTGTTGCTCATGCTACACTCACAGCTGGCTGAATATGAAGTAGCTTACCATGGGAAGACATTAAACATCCTGTAGGACAAACACGAGGGAGTTTGATGATTCATGGTGGATGGGAAATCATTTGCTGTTCACCCTTCTTATCGTGTAAGGCATTTCTCCCCCTTATCCCCCCTTTTTATGTTTACAGATTCTGCTTGTGTCTGACCACCTTGTGTCTCTGTGTCTATAGGTGTGCTTTCTCAAACGTTACCATGGCTGAGGGAAGCTGCTTCGGTGCGTTGTAGCTGTTTGCGATGACCAGACCTTGCCTCATTAAAGAAGAAGAAGAGGCGAGAGCAAACAATACCGACTGAGAGGAGGAAAAACATCTGCTCAGAGAGGATAAGAACAGAACAGGGAACCTACTGGAACCTTCTCTTTGTAGTAAAGGAATTTAAACTCCCCAGTATCAGTCAGTTGAAGGGTTCAAGAATTATATATTTTTTTACTTTGTGACCATCTCAGAAAGAGTGAGCATCATGTGCCATGTTATTGTAACCTGCCGCTCTATGCTCTGGACACTACTCAGCATTGTGGTGGCCTTTGCTGAGCTTATTGCCTTCATGAGCCCTGATTGGCTGCTGGGATCCCCCCGCTCGGACTCTAGTGCGAGCGGGGCGGGCGTGGACTCGGGGGAGTACCGGCCGTCTCTCGGCATGTACAGTCGCTGCCTTCGTGTCGGGGCCCGGGGAATTGGGGTGAGCTGCGGGCCCTACGCTCGGACATTTGGAGAAGTGGCCAGCGGCTTCTGGCAGGCGGCCATGTTGTTTCTGGCAGCAGGGATCTTAGTTCTAGCAGGAGTCGCCTGTATCTCCATCTTCAGCCTGTGCTTCCAGAGCATCCTGAAGAAGAGCATATTCAACATCTGTGGACTGCTCCAGGCTATCGGAGGTGAGATGTCCGTTTGAGTTTATGTTTTTCATCAACTTCTTCAAGTGTTCATTAGGAGTTGACATGAAAGATTTGAATGAGATAAAGAGATATCCGACCACAGGGCCAACAGGAAACCTACAATAATATACATTATTTGTATATACTGCAAACAACTTAAGTATTTTGCAATATATCTTAATTTCAGACATTTAATTATTGTGTCCTTCTTAAAAAAGGCTGGTGGACTATGTGAACACAAAATACAATGGAAATATGTCTGATATCATGTATTTTTATAATTTTATAATAATGTTGTCACCAAACTGAATGAAAACTATTTCCAGACAAAACAAGATGAGGATCTCAGATCAGACTTCTGCAATATAAAGATGTGATGTCAAACAAAAATCTGGATCAAAATTATCAAATATTTTGTGTTGGTTAAGTAAATTAGAAGTTAAAAAAGAAATAGATTGGAAGTTGCTACAATAATCCTACCTGTATTTTTCAGTGACTGATCTCAGCAAATGTAGGGAAGAGCCATCGAGAAACTCAAAATGCTGAGCAGCTGGATTGCATTTATCGTTGCTAATGCTAATAGTCTAGGATCCCGGACACAGAGTTTATAGTGGTTACATGTCTATACAAGCCTATGATGGTTGTATTATCATGCCTAGCCTTCAGGGAATGCTTGTGTTGTTATTAAGTTTACAAGTTGAAACATCTACGTTCATAAATTGGCATCATCTAGTTGCGTTCCTTCAAAATGTTCCTAGTTGTAGGTTGGATATTCCAACCAAACCTCTCCAAGTCTCCTTCATATTTCTACAACAATGGCCACAGGTGTGTTTGATTGCTCATGTCTGTCAAGTAGGTAATCTATCATTATGTGACATGTGGTCAAATGGGGTCTTTCCTGTCAACACAAATCAAGTGCTTGTCAGCTGAAAAATACATGTATTCTTTCCCAGAGTTGAGTCACCATGTTCCCAGCTGCACTGTGATCTGTTTGTGCTTTCTTCCCCGATGTTTACGTGTACGTGACTAAACAACTGGTCTCATCCTCTGCTATGCTTCCAGGCCTGTTGCTGATGGTGGGCCTCATGCTGTACCCTGCTGGTTGGGGATCAGAGAAGGTGATCAGCTACTGTGGCGCTGAGGCCTTGCCCTTTAGGCCGGCCCTCTGTTCCCTAGGCTGGGCCTTCTACGCCGCGATAGGAGGAACGCTGGGGTCCTTCCTGTGTGCCGTTTTGTCTGCACAGGCTGAGATTGCCACTTCCAGCGACAAGGTCCAGGAGGAGATTGAAGAAGGGAAGAGTCTAATCTGCCTGCTCTGAGCCTTCAAACAACCTGGGGAAACCATCCTTGGTGTCTTTTCTCTTTTACACACATTTTTAGATCTCAGTGGAGGAGAACAGACATTTCTTTCTGCAATTTTCTTTATGATGAGATCGCTGGTTGTTGAAAAGATCGAAGCCCTGAAAACAAAATGTTAATATGCAGATCACGCTACCAATATCATCCTACCTAATGATAAACATGGACAAAGTAAAACGTATATTTCCCTTCTACAGCTGCAGGTTGAACTGCCAAAAATGCTCTTGTACAGCAGCAGGCTAAAGAACATTACCTGCAGACGTATCCAATGTTTTTGAACAAGATAGTGTTTATTTTTCTAATGATCTTTGCCATAAACAAACCACTGTACTGGAGAAGCAGGAGATTAGTTAAATAAATCGGTAGTCGATGAGTCATTAGCATTTTTGTGGACAGGTTAATGACTACAAGTCAGTGCGTATGTTTATAATGTCCTTATAATGTTCATTCACACGGTTCACCTGCAAAACGTAACAAACCACTGAATACTAGCAGATGTGTCCATTTAGACTCCCAACAAGGACTTGGGAGTGTGTGTGTGTGTGTGTGTGTGTGTGTGTGTGTGTGTGTGTGTGTGTGTGTGTGTGTGTGTGTGTGTGTGTGTGTGTGTGTGTGTGTGTGTGTGTGTGTGTCAGACATTTACTGTTTTGTTTTCTAAACTTCTTTATTATCTGATTGTGTGGCACAGCAGGACTCTCTAACTTTCCATATGCCACTTAAGGGATCATTCACTTTAAAGGTGGTTTCCCTATTAAATGGATTGTTTGTGGGTCTCTAGAAGCTTATTAACTTGCAGTGTGTGAACAGAACCGAGACTCGCCATGTGTTTTTCTATGGTGGACTTTCATGAGGAGATGTTTGCTCAAAGCGAGATAAAGGCTGCACCAGAGATTATCACAGGTTACCTTACGACACAGCACACAGACGAGATCTGGTTTGTAAATATGCCCAAAGAACCGGTTACATTTTAAAAAGGCTTTGTTGAGCTTTTGCTAAATGAATGTAAATGAATGGGTTTTCAGTGATGCTTTGATTAGGGCAGACCTCTCTGTTTTGTTTGGTACTTTTGGAGATCAGAGTATTGTATTTTGCACTTGGTTCTCAATTCATTTAAAATTGCTTCATAACTTTCCTAACCCTGCTTCATCAAGTTGCTGTAAATGTAACATCATGTGATCACTTTTATTATTTGTAGATAAGATGTGCAATAATTCAACTATATTGTGTCTGCTTTGAGAGAGAGTGGACTGAGAGGATGAGACGTTTCTAGTCTGTCTGTGCTAAAATGTATATGTTGACTGTACTCTGTTTTGTTACATTAACAAAAGGGTAACAGCATCCGTGGCACATTGTATAAAGCTGCATGTATGAGAGGTTGATATGTGTGAGAGATCTGTCTGTACTTTGTACTCAAATAAACCAGGCCTTCTTTAAATATATCTGTGATGAGTTTTAAAACATGTATTTTTCTCTCAGTTCCTTTTTTCATGTTGCTTCCCTTTTAAATCAAGCTAAGGAAACACTGACACCTAGAGACGAAGAGTAGACGGAACAGAACATTTGAATTAGAGGATTTAAAGGATGACTTAACTCTGATCTGAAGCAAATATTTCAGACAATCTTTTACACAAAAAAAAGTTCTGTAACTTTCAGGAAATAAGTCAATCAATATTTCTTTCAAATTTTATTCCATGTTAATACCATAAATATACAAAACTCAAACTATTTCACATGCAACAAAGGCCAGACAAGAGTGCATTACGTTTTCTTTTTACATGTAATTGATAATGGGGATCAAATGTTCAACTTTACAAAATATACAAGTGTCCCTTTTTGAATAGGTTTCTTCTCTGATTCAGTTAAATAACATGGTCACGGGTCAAAAACAGTGATGTGTCAGCAAACTTCAAATACATCGTTTATACTGCGGACCAACTTGCCCAAATACATCAAGAAATGACTCTCTGTGGCATGGCTTCATTTGACAACTTTTCAAAACTTTAGACACATGGGAATCATGTGGGTGTTTGAAGCAAAATAAAAGTAACATCTTAAAGTAAAATATGGCAAGGGAACACTGAACCAAGATTTAAAAACAAATCTATATGGACATTTGGTAGATTTCTCACAGCTTTTCTGCACAGAATAACACTTTAGGGCCTTTCATACCAATCCTACACATTCTCATCCATTCCAGCACATCTTGCAGGGTCAAGTTGCAAAGTCATTAAACACTCTTAAATCTAGCTGATGCTATGATCACGTCATTACAAAACCACACAAACATAACACATCATGTAAAATCAAACCAAACGGAAAATGGAAAATGCAAACAACTTAAATTACACCATAAATAAAAACGCTTGTCTTTTGCACTAAGTTCAACGTAAAACAAGAAAGTGCAATGAACTTAAAACAAGAATATTAACAAACAAAAACAATACTTTCGAGGCGTTGGCTGATTTCCTAACAAATCATTGATCGTCAACTTGGTTCTATTCACAGGATTATTTCATCCACTATAATGTTCGGTCCATACATTTGTAAAACCGGCATCACCAGTCATCGTGCACAGCTTCAGACGTTCACCACCACTACGAGGTGCTAAAGCGAGACAAATAACACACGTCCATATTTCTGTACAACTTAGTTCTGAATAACACTGTTATTATTGTATATACATTAATTCATTTAGTCATACCACTGAATCCTCTCTTACTAAATGTTCAATTTAGATATGAAACTTCTTATGCCAGAGGAAAAACAACTGGACTGACTGCTTTTGTCTTTAGAAAAGCAAATGGAGTGTTAGCTATGTTGTGGAGGTAAACACAGTATCAATGTTTAACTTTTTTATGTATGCAGGTTAATCTCTAGAAAAATCTAAACCAATGTCATCGTCAAAGAAAGGCTGTTCACTTCTCTCCGTCTTCCCTATGAATGTGTCTTTTTCCAAAAGAATAATCACAGCACAAGATTCATAGCAGCGTTAGTTTTAAACAGTGTGAAGTGCTACAAAAACAACTGAGATGAAGCCACACAGTAGTCTGTTAATGCCAAACCTAAAGTACATAAAGAAAAGTGGATATTTCTCATGTTTGTCCTTTTTTAGTTACAGCTGGCCATGAAAGCATCTGACTGACCCTCTTTTGGGTTTGTGGTGAGAACTGGTGACCCTGCTGACCTGGGGGTTCAGTGTGTCTTCACTAATAGATCCAAACATCATCAATCAGTCAAACAGGGACATGTACTGACTTCACAGTTCACTTCATCAAATCTTATGAAGCTATCCCACTTTGGTGTTTGAAGTAGCTCACAAACAGGGAATATTTCAGAAATAAGTCACTGCTAAGGGCTGCAGGAAGGTCCTAGATAAAATAGTACTGAAATACTTTTACTAATATGAATTACCAGGAGTGTATTCATCTCAGAATAGAAGCACAGATGTAGGACAAGGATGATTAACCTTTCAGATCTAAATGAAAGAGTTCTCGTTAAGTGAAGTACACATTCACGCGCAGGCCCAGCCATACAAACACCCTCTGTACTTTCATTTTGTGACCAAGAAAACAGAACTATGTGCAAAACACCCTGATCATATTATCACTTTTCATTAATCTATACTGAATGTACCAGGCAGGAAGCTGACTGGAGGTCATCACCATGACAAAAATAAGGTATACTAGAACTGCAACCTCTGCCTGACTTAGAAACACCTCAACGGGACAGGAGGACGGGGAAAGAGGAGCGAGTTATGAAATCCCACACACTCAGAGCACATCTTGAGTCTCTTTGTGGAAGATTCAACTACTTGAGAGTTTTTACTAAAACTGGATCTTAAGTGAAGGTGGACAACTCTGGTTACTTTTTTTTTAGCAACGTGTGTAGGCCAATCTTAGAATAACAACATTCAGAAATAGAATTAATTTGATCTGAGAGCCTGCAAGGCCAGAGTTGTACACCTCCAACATTTGTGTGTGTCAGTGTATGCTTGTATTTGTGAGCATGTGTGCATGTATGTGGGCGCTTCTGTTTATGGCTGAGGTTTGAAGGCCCCACGAGCAGCATTGGTTGCAGCATTAGCTGCGGCGTTGGCGGCCGCGGTCTGGACGGTCTTGTTAGACATGACCCCAGTTGCAAACTCCTGCTGAGCCTTCTCAAAACTGGCCCCGGTGGTACGATACAGTGCGTGCACCTGGAAAGAGCAGAAAAATATAAATAAGTTACGTTATACAAGTCAGGTAATATTAAATCTCCCGGCATGCCTTTGGAAGAATAACACAATACAGTTAGGCAGAGGTTTAACTTCCTGGCTCATCACAACACTGACATTTGGCTCAACATTAGTAGTGACGCACAGTATTCTGTTTATTCTTGTCACTTTTGCCTGCTTGCACTCACATTTCATAATGCAGTCAGCTTGTTAGTCAGAGTGCATCTCCCCACTCTCTATTCAAACATTTATTTATAGTGTTGATAGCAATGGTGTTTAACTTATTTGCATATATTTTAACTTTATTATCATGGGCAGTCTCCAATAATGAGATGCTAGCTATTCAGGTAGAAACGCAGCCAGCGCTGATATGTATTTTGTGTGATTGTGTTACCCTTTTAAACATGATGAGTGATCCCACGGACAGCGCAGTGAACAGAGCTGAGATCAGCACCATGATGATGCCCACTGGGATGTTGATGTTCAGACCAGTTAAAGCTGCGATCCAACCACTACCAAAACAAAACAATAACAATGTAAGTAATCTTTAGCACTTACTCATAGAGTTACAGAATCAGTAAAGGCACAATTACTAACCATGTACCCCAGCCAGCGATGCCAATACTTTGTAAAACGTGAACGCCAAACTGACAGATATAGATGAAGAAGAAGACAAAGAAGCGGAATGAACTGTCACTCCTGTAGAGGACACAGAGAACAAGGTAGTAAGAGTGGGATATTAAATAAAAAGAGGCATTGTTCATTAAACAGGAATTGATGTCTGAAGGTCTGGCTTTATTCATGTCTTAAAGGTAGGGTAGGTAAGAATGGAGAAACCAGCACGAGTAAGCTAGAATTTGAAAGTACACAAGAGATGGAAGGCTGTTGAAGGCAATCAGTCGTGCTTTTTACAGCGCCACCGCTTCCACAGATGAAATATTTGTATATATTTATTCTCAAAGCTTTTAATTTATTCATTGCTATCGGGATGTTAAGAGCATTCCATGGAATATAACAAAAAGTGTTTCTGAAGTGAATTACCTACCCTACCTTTAACTTGGTACTTCATTATAGAGTTGGAAAAAAAGAAGAGGATAAAGAATGAGCATCAATAACCTCAAGAAGTAAGAGCATATTAAGGTCAAATAGCCACTGCTTTTTTCTATTTTTATTCATACTTGGATCACATACTGCTAAGCTTCATTTGCACACATCATGGCTGTGCACAGAGAACTGTTCTCTAATAATAATAATAATAATAATCTCAATGTTATTTTCCATGTATCTGCTTACCTAAAAGCCCCGTAAAGCGGTCTGTACCAGCAGACAAAGGAACAGGGAGTGAACAGCAGGAACCATAGCATGGCCAAGCCAAAATCTACACCGCGAGATGTATCCACACAGAACCAGGCCAGGCAGCCGAACATGTTCACAAAGAGCGTGCATGCATGGACTGGGAGAAAAACAACAAAATAAAAGACACGGTTAATCATAATTTATTCTCAGCATAATTACACATATTTATTTTTTCTAATGTCCTTGTTGTTGATGTGCTCGTGTGTTTAATGTCCAAATTCAATGCAGTCTCACAATCCCATATATTGCATTGAAGAGAAGCCAAGTGTGATCACAGGTCACAGGTATAGGAGGCAATACAGCTCATTAGGGGTGTGTTGGGTGTTCCACTTACACATCCAAAGCTTGTACATGATCTTCACGGTCTTTTGGAACTCTACAGGAATGTCCACTGCAATGTCGTGGTAGAAACATGGACCAACAGGGAACTTCTCTGGCAGTGGAGGCCAGTTGTTCTTACGCCCTGTGTGGACAAAGGCAACAGTGTTTTAATGATAAGCAATGTAAAGAATAAGAGTTAGATGTTATACTATGAAGTATAATACTTTGAAGCAACATGTGTGTGTACAACGATAGAAACAAAATGTACAGTGTATAGTACAATCTGCAAATGAAAAAATACATAGAAAACCTGTATTTTGCAATTTTTTGGTTAAATCTAAAGCATTGTGATTACGGCATATAACCTGAAATATGCAAACAAATATTAATGCATGAGTGTGAGTAAAATCTTTGTCACTTTTTTTATTCGAAATCGCCTGGGTATTTTGATGCCTTAATTAGATTAGCAACCCTTTGTAGAAAACGGGGGGTTACGTATTGTAACCCTAGTTCTATCTCACACAGGCTCCACCCTCTACTGGACTCTATGGGTACTACTCTCATCAATGATATGCGAGCGTTCACACACTGAAGTTGTATAAACGTAGCCAGCCCAGGGCGAGCCAACCTGAATGCGCGTGCAGGCCCACAGTATATAAGGCGCTACGCCTCCTGACTGTCATCCTACACCCTCTTCAGCGAGCCTAGGAAAGACAGGGCCCCTAGGTAGAGGGCTCCGCCTGTGCTTGTTACAATACGTAACCAGGGGCGGCGGGTACTGTAGGCTAGGGAAGGCTAAGCCTTCCCAAATATTTTTGTCACAGCATCCTGGTAAAATACTGTACTACGAAGCCAGTTCAACAGACCCTGGATATGTTTGAGTTATCTTAACTAACCCTAACAAACGAGATCTCGCTAAGCGGTCCTACGACGCTGGTTATCAACTCGGTAAATCAAGCCAGGGTTTCTCTCTCCAGCTGAGAGCGCGTTCACGTGAAAGGGGCGGGGTTAGCTACATTTGACCAATCACAAACAGGGACAAGTGTACTGACAGCGCAGCGTCATACTTCATTAATGAAAAGTAAACTAATATTAAAAAAATATGAACTTTAAACATCCATGACTTAAACATATAATCCAGGATACAAGCCACATAGTTGCACCTGCAAGGTGAATATAGAACAACTGGTTAAAAATAATAAATAAACTACAGAGTGTTTGAAAGCGTACAACAGTTTTATGATATACTGCCCCATCTAAGACACGAGTGCATCTGACTTTAATTACATTTGAGTTGAGTGTTTCGTCAACTTAATGTGTTGCTTAAAATAATACTTCTGCATACAGTATGTGACACTGTAAGTGTTGCACGGCCAGTTACGGCTCAGCTGACTCAGATAAGGAAATATTGTGATATTATATGATCGATGATCTGATTGATGATGTGATATCAGTGTGATATGAATGATAAGTGCGACACGTCGGCGTCTTCTCTGCAACGGCAGTTTAAACTGTATTTCCTTTATCCTGTAATATGACTTGATAGATTTAAACTCTGCACACTGAGCTCGTTGGTCAGCAGCCGTTGCTTTCACTGAGTTGATCTCTTTTCTATAGTGTAGTGGCAATTTCTTATGTTACCTTATATGGTAAAACCAAATGCTTCTGAAAGCATTGTCTAACACTACTGTACCATTTCTTCATATTTGCTGTTTCATCTGTTGTCTCTAATGAGGGTTATTATTCTCAAGCGCTTCAAGGCCACAGAGCTGATTTGGCAGACTATGTTGAAACTACTCCTCTTCACACAAAGTTTGAACTTCCATATTCTGATAACCATTATACTTTCTACAGCTCAAGGACACAGGTGTCTAATAACAATATGAGAAATCCGTGTGAAAGCAGATTTCTGAGGCGTTCCGCCATGCTACACAAAAACTCTGTCTGCCCGCCCTATCTTGTATATAAGCTTTGCAATTCTGTGACTATTGCGCACACTCCTGCAGACTACCCTGTACTCTGTGAGACTTGTGCCTTCGAGGCGCCTCCAATAAAGATCCAGAAAGACAACTCTGTTTGTTTCACCAGTTTATTGATTGATCATTCTAATTGTATATCTCCACAGTATTGACTAGGTCTAAGATTTCCATAACAATAGACGCTGGGGGCGGGCAGCGTCAGGTAAAAAAAAGTTATTTAGCCTTCCCAAACTTGAGCCTCACGTGCCGCCTATGATCGGCGCCCGCTATTAAGCCAGGGCACGAAGGACAGGCCCGGGTCTCTAGAAGTGACGACTCCATGAAGGTACGATAACTTCTTTCTTCTTCTTTCAAACGTTTTACTTTTCTCTGTCAGGTGTTGTCCTGCTCGCTGAAGAAAAAAGGATGACAGTCAGGAGGCGTAGCGCCTTATATACTGTGGACCTGCGCGAGCATTCAGGTAGGCTCGCCCTGATTGGCTGGCTACGTTTATACAACTTCAGTGTGTGAACGCTCGCGTATCATTGATGAGAGTAGTACCCATAGAGTCCAGTAGAGGGTGGAGCCTGTGTGAGATAGAACCTACTTTCCTTTTGTTTTACAACACAAGTTTTCTCTTCTCATTCATGACATCATGACATGACTACCGTGAGTCTTAAAGGTAACCCTAACATTAATGACAGAGGTATTTTGCATCAAAATCCAAGTATTATATATGCAATAATTCGCTTCAGAGAAAATGCCTAATAATGCTTTACCGTGAAGTTTAATTTTACATTTGCACTGTTGACACTGCCATTACTTAAACCCTAATAAATGTGAGTTTTGTTTCTATGACAACAATATATTGACAAACAAATCAGTGACTACACCAGGGCCTTTCTGAAAAGTTATGGTATATTCAACAAGTAGGGCTTATATCAGCTGAACGTAAAAAAAACGTATAAAAATACTCAATATACGTTCTATCCTCATTGATAAAAAAAAAGAAAAAAAAAGCCACTTTGTATGGACCCTCAGTCTAAAGAAACACAGTTTGATGTTTGTATTGAATGTAATATATGACTCACAGATATGCTGTTAATCACAAATAGAAACAAAGGATGTTGTTGCTATGGTAACACATCCACTTTCTGAGTCTAAACATTGTCATTAACCAAGCTTTTATTGGGATGAGCCTTCAGACTGAGGTTGATGAGTTAGTAGTAGATAAACTGACTGACCTCCTCCGTGGGACTGGAGTTCTCTCTCCCGACGATCGAGCTCTGCCGCTTTCTTCTCCAGCACCTCCTGCCTTCTCAACAACTCCGCCTGAACACGTGCTTGGTCCTGACACAGAAATACTTGTTAAAGTGACTGTCCAACATCTGAGGAGGTATGATATCCACTCAGGTAAGTAGTTAAGGTATTTTTCCACTTAGGTAAGCTCAGGGGTCTGCTAGTTTGAGAAGTAGGAACAAAGGGGTTATAATTGGAAAGGCAAGGTGTTATTGTGGTTCACGCTTTTTCTCAACCTATCTCTACATTTAAACAGCATGAGAAAAGCTGGGGAAAGTTCTGAATTCACACTAGTCAAGACAAAGACACAATTCTTAAGATGGTAGACAGTACCTCATTGCGCCGCTGTTGGGCCGTCAGAGAACAGATGAAAGAATGACGGGAATTAAGAAATGTGAACCAGAAACTAAAAGATAAAGAGTGACTGTAAATATGCTATAAAACTGCAGGCGATTCAATACATAAACAAGTACCTGACTCTGTTGCTGTGAGTAGGCTGGCGGCTCCTCTGTGGGTTTCATGATGGCAGGTTGTGTGTTCTGCTGGGAAGGTACAGGAGTCGCTTTGGGAGCATTCCCAGGGGCCGCCTGTAAACCAGCATGGACTATTTTAATATATGTGCAACCTTAAGACAGACAGCAAATTTAAAGTGTAATTAGGCCACAGTTATTTTTTGTCACTTTGTAGCTGAAGGGAGAAGTAGGGTAGTGGATAAAATGAGGTTAATAAGCACAGAAACAACTTGTAATCATTTAGTAAAGCTGACCGTTTTGGCATCTGTGAAGGGATTATACTCCTCCAGACCACCAGGAGGGGCAGACCGGGTCACCTGAGTCACTGAGGGATCCTACAGGACAGAAAAGGGACCATGATGGGTACTACTACAACCAAAACGCTTATATATTGTAGTTTTTAGATGACCGCATAAACACTTGGTCCAGTAATTCACTTGTTCTTGTCAGTTATTAATGTTGTGTTGACAGCAGGTAAGGTGGAACCAGAGACTAAGGTTTAAATGCAACACAATACAAATAATAACCTAATAAACAATGTAAATTGGTCTTGATATTGCGGCCATTTAAGACTTTAGGAATGGGATCAGGAGGGGAACTGGGAAACACCAGGGACATGTTTGCTAGGGAGGACAGTCTTTGCTAGTGTCAGGTTGTGGTAATGTAAGGTTATGGTAGTGTAAGGTTATAGCAGTGTAAGGTTATGGTGGTGTAAGGTTATGGAAGTTTAAGGTGGTGCACCAAGTGACATGAAGAGCCAACAGTTGACTGGTTTTCATTCCAACCAAGACTCCACCCACTGGTTACCACACCTGCAGGGGAGGGACTTAACATTTAAATCACCCACTCAGGTGTGCTGTTAGGATGAAGAGCAGCAGACTGTCTTGGTTGAAGGTAAGATCAACTCAACTATAGCCCAAAGAAACAGCTTGTTGCCTCCATCTAGCCTACAATACAAAACAGCCTAGCCTTTTCTGTACGATCAGATATGTAAGATGTAGAGAAATTACCCTTTTATATTATGCCACAATAAGATGAGTAGGAAGTCAATGTTTTAGTCAATGTTGTGTGCGATGTTTATGTTTGAATTAGAGCACTGATGTGTTTTATATAGAACTCCAATAACACGTTTAAATGTCCAAGACCTGCGTGCCAGTGAGATTTGGATATAATTCTAAGCATACAATGCTCATAAGAGAGGTAACTATTCAGTTATCAAACTTATTTACCAAGCTAGCAGGTGACAGCAAGTGTTCACTGACGGTGGGCATCTAGCTAGCTAACATCATGTGTCTTTGTTCTTAGTTGCTATATACATTTATCGCAACGTTGATAACAAACATCCTCCGCAACAGATTGTTAGCTGAGCCTTTACTGCCTCGTTTACTAAGTGAGCTGCCATATACCGTGTCAGTGATGAGATGAATATTATGAATGAGGATTAGCTTGTTCTGCTTCCCAGGGAAAGCTCTAGCTAAATAGCTTGGACAGATAGCAGGGATGCTAACCTAAGACTGGCCTCATTGGGTTATGAAGCGTATGTAGGATAGCAGGCTAGATGGCTCAGTTGGCTACCTGAAAGGGATTGCTGAAGTCCGGGTCTGCGAACGGGTTGCTGTCAAAATCGGACATTGTACAGCCTTTCTAATAACTGTTTCCTGTGTGGAAGAGCCCCCCGGTTCTCCAGGTAAGGTTCAGTCTCTTGATTCGACTGCTCTCTCTGTTTGCCCGCTGTCTTTCTCCGCCTCCTGCTGATGGAGACCCCTTGCTAAGCAAGCTAGCCAGTAGCACAAAAATGGCAGGAGCGGATGCGTGATGAGCGTCAACTTCCTACGTCACTGCTTCAGCATCGCGGACAGCATGACGTCTTGACAGGTACAGAACATCCATGAACTGTGTATGGAAAGTACATCACAGTGAATTATGTATAAGAATAATATGCCCTTTTGTCTCGCTTTCTCACATATAAAAATCATATTTATTATTAAAACTGAGGATTAGATTGGAATATATAATATTGACTTGTCGGATACTTTCTCATTCAATCATGATTGTCATTTTTTGTAATTCTTCTTTAATTTTGGGCCCCTATTGACGTCCTCCACTACCATCTCCCACCATCTGTGAGTGTTGCAGGCCCACCTATCCTGCCTCCAAGTTTACAACAAGTACAGTGCACAAAGCATTACATGGCATTTTCTTTATTCCCTCAGACACAAAAATCAATCAGGCCTCATTAGCTGGATTACTGCCTGGTCCCACAATTTGTTTGTTTGTTTGTTTGTGGTCATTTAAATAAACATGTCTTTGTTTAAGGTTAGGTTTAAAACACATGGCCCACCACAACCCATGGCCCACTTATGAAAGAACAACCTGATTATTTGGATCTGCTTTAGGTCACATCGTGATCACATGTGGATCGCATTACTGTACACTTTATTGGTTTACAATCTCTGGCTTCTGTAGACCTGACCCTCTGTCAGTTGCCTGCTTTCCCCAGTTTAATCCTGCCTTAATACAATATTTTAAAAATGTTTACCTTAAGTCACGTGTTTCCAAACTTTTTTCAGTGAGGGCAACATACATGTGTAGAGAAATATATGAAGCGCTGGGCCACTTAGAGCAGTGTTTCTCAAACTTTTTAATACCAAGGACCACTTACCAATAGAACAACACTCACGGACCATCTAACTCCACAAATATACCAAAACAAAAGGCCTGCTTACCACTCCAATAGTTTATAACAATTTACACCCTAATAATGACAGCTTAATTTCTCTATATCGCCTCGTTCCCAAATTAAATTAACAATACAAATACAACTACAGATTATATAAGCATTCCGTTCAAATGCGATTTAAAATGCTCTCAGGTTTTACACCTCTTATGAAATGTAGACTACATTTCAACAGACTTCATGCAATGCTTCATTGGATGCATAAATTAGATACTAATCTCTATCTCACTCCTAAAACATCTAAATCTACTTCCAGCATGGATAAATGTTCATAAAATACATCCATTGTTTGTTCTTTATGCTTCTTGAAATCCTAAAAACATTGTTTTTCTAGAACAGATCACAAATCTACAAACAAGTGGCAAAATGTGTGACGAAGGTGTTGCGCTGGGCTATACCATCCAATCGAAAGTGAAACTTAAATTATAAGTTACCAACTCAATAAAATGTAGATCAATTGCTTGATACTTGAATATGCTTTAAGAAAGGAAAAAAAACAGCCTCCATCACAGCTGTCACTAGGATTTTATTTATTTTGTTACAAAAATTGTTGGCAGCTCATTCCTTAATATAGAAACCTCAGATTGCTTACAATAAAGGGAAATATGAAGGGTCTATTTCAAGCTTGTTATGCAAATAAGTTATTTGGCTTTTTTTATGAAGTAAGATTTGTTAGAAAATGTTTTGAACTTTGACTAAATGTATTTGAAAAGTGGGCTTCTTAATACATGAATACTACGGTGTGATTGAGTTTACATATATATTTAAGAACAAACATTTTTACGGGCCGCAGTTGGTCCCCGGGCCATAGTTTGGATACCCCTGCATTAAGTATTTCCAGTATTGTGTTACTGCATGTTTTCAGTCAAGCCCCAAATAAAAAAAATATATATATATGTTTTCACTGCACACACTGTATAGATTGAATGGCAGATCTCGCCCACATGGTATTTGAAGTTTCAAAAATAAAACAAGGTACATTTATACATGTATATGGTTGGTATTATTTGTATTACTGTCCATGCTTACTTTGTAACACAGTATTTGAGCTCCTGTAGGTCAAACTCCTCAGACATCACCTCCACCTGATGATTAAGTTAATGATGATAATGATGATAATGATGATGACGAGGATGATATATGGAAGTGTCTGCTGCCCAGTTGATCTCTTGCCTGTGAGAAAGAGCTGGAAAGGCGAACCCAGTGTTCTCATTTGATGATATGTAACACTGACCTCTTTCTCAGCAGCAATCCCAGACAATTGACTGAAAATCATTTTATTTAACTTGTCTCTATAAGAAGAATCGGACCACATTGGCTTTGGGCTTCTGTTAGTTGCCCAAAATGGCCACTTGGGGGAGCTATGATTCAATATGTCTGCTCAACCAGTTCTGCTAAATCCTTTCTCATTTGCCACCAATTTATTTTCATTCAAACAAAGGGTGACCATGTGAAGAACATCACATCAGTTGACAGCCTGTAAATGTGATTTAAACATTTAAGCACCATTTACCCAGATTAAGTTTCAATTGAAGAACAAATGCTATTAGGTGGAAATCGTACAGTGTGTGGTAAATGAAGGAGGTTAAATATTCCCTTTTATCGTTTGATTCCTATAGCTCATTTTCAAACAAAGGCACTGTGTTACTTTGGTTTTATAGTAGATAACATGTTATACCTTATAAACTGTGTTTTGATAATAATTTACTAATCACCTAATAACCCTAATGTGCATCTTATGGACTGCACCTAGATAATGTTTTGCAGTGATAAACACAAACTGGATTCATTACAATTCAACTCCTGTCCACAAACACACACAAAATGAGCATCAGTTCCTTCCCTAATCTTGTATTAATGGACCCAATCACAGACTCTATGAATAATCAATGGTCAGTGGTCTGCAACCACAGTGCTGAGACCTTGAGTGAAACTGAATTGTTCTAATAAGACTCACACACACACACAGACATATACACTCACACACACCTAGAGGCCCTAATAAGCACTAATGCACTGTGGGCTGAGAATACGTCACATGGTTTGTTTGCTGCAGAATGTGAAAGATAAACATGCTGTGCAACGTTTGTGTCTGTGTTTACTGTAGATGTGTGTGTGGAGAAGAATAGCGTGAAAGCAGGGCGATGTCTGTCCTTGCCCACTCTCTCCTGCCTTTCTATGCTGCTTTCCACAGATGACTGTGAGGAAACAACCGCTTTGGCTAATAGCTGCAACATTAGTCTCTTAACCAGCTGGTCATGGCCATTTAGAAATGTTCATTAGGTCGCGGACCAGAGTGGATAGGTGTGATGGTTCACTCCCAGATGTTGACTGTAAGAGACAGAGAGAGGAGAGAGAGGCAGGCAGAAGGACAGACGGAGAGGAAGAGAGGCAATTTACTGGCCAACATGACGCCCAAGTGTTAAAAGCCACAGATGCAATTATCATATTGCCCTGAATAAGAACCTTGTGCATAATTAGATCCCATTAAGGTCTATGAGTGTTATTTTAGGGCCCTGAAAAGGTTGGATAAGCAGGACTTGATATTATGGGTTATTAATGCTGCGACATCTGCTGCCATTCTGGCAATAGGTTGATAGTTGTCTAAATGGGCAGGGAAGTCAGAATTGAAATTATGTTACAACCATAAAGTAAAATATAATATAGAATGCAATATTTTTCTATAAATATTTATATGGCACGGTATAGATATGGTTTAAAAATATGGCTTTATATATTTTGTGTGTGTATGCTTGTGAATTTGTTTGTGCCTTCGACCAGTCGGAGCACATTTCACACCGCAGAGGGAAACTGCACGCTGTCTCCGGAAAAGCGATTGATTCTCCATTTCCATATTAATGAGGAGATTTGTTAAGAGCCTGCAGGAGTGGGAGAAAATAACAGGGTCTTCATAGGGCACGACATTTATAAATAAAGCTGATGCAGAGAAAAATGGAAATTAAACCTTTTAGTTTAATAAATTTGAGGCGTCCGCAGCAAAGCGAGCGATTTGCATTTCCATTTGTGGCCAAATAATGAGAGTGCGGGTCCATGATGAGCTCGCTGGTGCTGCTTTTGGGTCTCAAACAGTCAGACAATCACTCCAGCGTGCAGCCCTCCACATCAATGTCATTAGCTCAGGCCTGTTAACTTCCACTTGGCTTTCTAAGATGACTTGGTGAACTGCAGATTCCTATTGTCAGTGTGAAGAGGAATAGCAATATGCTCAAAGTAAAATGTATCTTCTTATGCATTTCCTGTATTTCCCAGCCTGGATGTGTCATTATCTTTTTTTCTTCTTGAATATTCAACATTCTATATATATTCAGATGTCATTTTAAAATGATCTTTTGTTGTTCTAAAACAACTCAGTCAGAAACTGTCTTTCGCTTTGCCGTAAACACTTGCACTTAGACACACACAACGCGCAACTCTTACACACACTCGCACACACAAAGCTTCACTGATTGAATTTATTGGGGAATGGATGTTGACTAGACCACTCCACGTAGGCTAGATTGTTGTTGTTCCCAGATTGACAGACAGACCCAGAGCGGCTGATTGAAAGTGCCTTTTAGCTTGCTCTCACTGTATATTTGATTTAGCAAAATGGAAGGGGAGTCCAGTCTTCTCCCGGGATGCAAACAGTCCCTGTGTTTGTGTGTTTATGTGGGTGTGTTTGTGTGTGGTATGCGACTGGTGGATGCTTTAGTAAATGCTGCATAAAACATACGCCTTTCAGGTATTAATTGAATAATGCAAGCACTCCTCTTGTCAGCCATCAAGTGGGCCACTTTCTCAGTGGCCTGTGCTGCTCTCATGCCTGTGAATTGACTAGATTTATCTGTGTTGTTCCAACCAATGGAGGCCATTTGTTCCAAATGTTTGACATAAACATGTAAAGAGCAGAGGCGTGCACTCATAAAACAAGCTTCTACAGAGTTGTTTTACAGCCCAAAGGGACCGATGGGGGGGCCTCTCAGCCTATCGAATCATTTGGAGCTCTTGCTGAGCCAACGGCGTGTTAAAGTTCTCTTTCAACCAATGATGTGATGAA